CCCGCCCCCCCCCGTTTTTTTCGAATGCGGCGACTCGGGTCTCCTGCTCGCCAAAAATAAGTATCAGGAGCGTCCCGCCGCCGAACATGTTGCGTATGCTGATTCCATCGTAAAATGAAGAAAAACCGCGGAAAACAGTAGAAAGGAACTCAAAGTGGTCAAAACAACGCGATCAAAAAAGCTTGGAGGTCGCACACGGCCAGGATGCTGACCCCGTGACCCCGGAATTATGACGCAAAAACCGGTTCAATAAACCCTTAGCGTTCAGACCAGGTTTTTCGGTGGAAAAACCCCTCAAAAACCCTTCAAAAACCACCTCCCGAGGTGGTTTTTGAAAATCGGATTTAAACCCCTAAAAAAACGGTTAATTTGCGTTCACACCAGGTTAAATAAAAACCGGTTTTTGAAAAACCGGTTGAAACCGCTAAATGTAAGTCTGGTATGAACAGGGTCATAGTGGCCCAAAGTGTTCCAAAAATCTTTCATGCTATTGTTTCCAAACAATTTGCATGATTGTGTGGCTTTGCGATAGATTTAGTGAATGATTTTTTGTGACACCTCTAGAACGGAGCTTGCTAACTATTCATGAATTTGAGAATATTCTCAAACTCTCTTGTTGCTGTCTGCAGGCAGTTCATATGTGTTTGTGGGGAGGCCCTGAGCCTGAATGCCCAGCTGATTAAGACTGACCAGCTGGAGTACCACGAGGGACTAAAGAACGACTATAAGAGCATGGTGGCCAAACTGGAGGATATCATGCATGAACAGGTGGGTGGGGAGGGGGGCGCGCCATTGACAATCTCCTGTAATTCCCACTTTATATTTATTGAGTATTAGGCAAGAAGCACAGTTGCTTATATGACGCCTTCTACTCAAAAACATAAAATGAGAGTAAAATACAATGACAAGATACTTACATAATTACAAAATGGGTAAAAGAAAAAACAAGACAAGTTGTTGATCTATCAATTACGAGAATCTACAGTACAAAACTTCACGATTTCTTCACGGTACTTTCATGTTTTCATAGTCATTTTTATACTCTGAACTTATCATTACCGCTAACAAATCAATCGCTTTCTTTTTTCTGCACCTGCCGCCACCGTGAACATATAGTTCAGTGAACACCTCCATTTTTCTCAGACCGTGAACATTAAGTGAACTACATGTAGAAAGGTAACATTTGCAAAGCAAATGCATAATGTTTACCTTTGCATATGGTCTGCTCTGTTAATTCTTACCCAAACACATTCACATATATGGTGACAGGAGTCTAAATACTATAAAATTGCAACATGATGTAACCCAACATCAGTTACCATGGTGAGAGACGGTCTGGTTTAGGTCATTGACCAGGCCAGAGGTCAGTGTTTGGAACGGAGGCAAAGGTTGAAACAAAGGTTGAAAGTTTGAATCCAGCAACAAATCATTTGAAGTGGGTTAGAGTTAGATCTTCGAAGGTGTAACAAGTCATTTGGTGTAATATAGCCAGCTATAGCTGCACTGAAGCTGGTGTGTATACTGACTGTACAGGTAAAGATACAAATACAGAATAAAAGAGTATTACATAGAATGCACTTAGGGTTTTGTTAGGCCTCTTTTTTTTGTAAGCATTATACACTGGACATAAATCTAACATGTATTTCTATAATGTCTGACACTTTTAAAAATCTATTCAGTTGCTTTTGAGTAACAATTTTCTTGTGTATCTTATAACCTACCATGATGTCTAACCTTCATCGACATTTGTTATTTTTTCTCTAGTTGCTGCCCAAGGATCCCGACAGTGTATCTACTGTCAGCCGGTCGTCTCTGCATGTGTTCTCAGCTATCAGTGGAACTCCAACCTCCACCTCCCTGGCTGGGATCTCAAGTGGAGCCTCCACTGTGTAGGGAGGGCGCATGTCGGAATGGGGAGGGGGGCATTTACATATCCTTAAGCTATCTCAAAGTCAGTGGTGCCATGGTAGAAAAGAGCACCTATTCCCAAACTTTACATACAGTAGCTTGGTCTTATGTTTGTTATGGGTAGGTAGACACAGAGTCAGTTGATACATATCCCATGTTTAGAGGAAGAACTTGGTACTATGAGAGAAAGCTTGAGAAGTGTGTATTCTACACTGTACATAAGTAGGGGAGGGGGGCAGGCACCCTGTGTTTAGTTAAAGGCTGCCAACATGTAATTATGCACAAAGAAATGTATTTAACGGTGCTACGTGAACATGACTTCCAGCTATATCAAATGTAGTTTGCTGTTAATTTTGTTTTCAGTGGAATTACATTGCTGTTTCAGAAGATTGCACTGTTGAGTTTCTTGTTTTTCTGAGACCAGTTGTCTTTTTATGCAGTGATATTGAATTTACTTCACTGTTTTATGTTGCCTGCATTTTATTTCTTGACATCTATTTGTGACTGAGAAATGATGTTTGATGACTGCAATGTTCTTGAGTCCTACCCTGCACCAACATGTGTTAACAGCAAATAGATAGCTTTTCAAATGTATGTTAAAAGTATATACTACATTCTTTTGGAACATAGCATATTTTAGAACTGTACAGATTATACAGTCACAGTCGCAAGTAGTGCTGCACATGTAGATTCACACATCTGATGTTGCATGTCTGAAGAAAAATCCAACTTGTAAAATCTGCACACACCAGTAAGCAAAACTGTAACTGTATATAGTACCAGGTATTCTTCTGATGCTTTTCATACTGACATGCATGTTTGTTTACAAGACTGTCTCTTACATGTAGGCATAAGTCAGGGGAGAAGATAGATATCCATTATTCTCATAATCTGGATTACTCTCAACAAATGTGTGGCACTACCTAGACTCTGTTCAGCATTCTGTTTTACAATATTATGTTTTGATCGAAAACATGGGGACAAATTTAAGGCAGCGTCACACTCAGTGTACATACATTGTACTGTTAACAGTGACCTTTAACTAGGCAATGGTGTATTATGGATGCAGAGGAAAACAGGGTTACAGGTGCACAATGGTAACAATTGTTTGTGAAAGTAGTTCATCAACTCATCTTTTCCTGATTACGAACAGAGCAGTACTAGCACACATTATGGATGACAACTAGCTATCATTTTTTTTAGGTTTGTATGGCATATTTCAGGCATTATTGACAAGTTTGAGTTAAATTTTACAAATCTATCATATATAAGTGTAAGAGACTGTTGTGTAATTAACCATGAAACTCTACTAGTCTTGCTGAGGGTACTCGAAAAGAACTTAGGTATGCTTAGTGCCTGAATAAGGTGTATGTGAAAATGTAGTCTTTTATTGTATGATACTCGGTGCTGCTAGCAATGAAAAGGGCATTGACGGTGTAAGTTAACATACCAGACTGTGATAAGGAACAGTTGCTCATGGGCAGCCAACAGTAAATATTTTTGATATTGAAAAACAGGAGATGGTTGTTAGCAACTGTTGTGACTGTTCTGTTATACAGATGATAGTTTTCTTTCTTTTTAGTCTACAATTGAAATCATAAGAATTAATTGGTATAATTATGTAACATAAAGTGAGCCATATCATTAATACATCACGGATTCGTTTCCTTTTACATTTTGTTGCAGTGTAGACTTTGGTGTGAAAAAAAACTCTCAAATTTGAATGTCAATACCAGAAAATTCCACAAAAGCTGAGGAAGCAAAAATGCTTCCTCAATAGTTATTATTGTTAGACAAACATCATGATTATGATTATGAAGGATTATGCAAATACAAGATGTGTTGTTGCACTGATTGTCTTGCAAGGTTTTCTGGGATGAATTGTTGTGTAATCATCACTTTTTGCTTTTGCGTATGTTTACAAAACATTATAAATAAACTACAATTGTGTATTATAGGATTTCCAGGGGATATGGAATGTAACCAAATGTGTCAAATTGTTTCATAAGGACGTAATTATCATAGCCACCAGAGATCATTAATTTCTGGTGCTAGAATTTAGAACTTAATTAAGTTTAATCAAGCCTTTCTTTGTATAACTGCTAATTGTATATACTTTGGTGATTTGCGTTTATGATTAGCTTATAAAATATGGTTATTATGGTTTATATCCTTTATGTACTTGTCCTTATCACCAAAGAAATTAAGTTGATTTTTAATTGTAAATATGTGTATAGGTTCAAAATCATCTATAATTTGTATTATCGTGATGGCTTTGCGACCACTTTTTCTGCCAGTATTCCATATGATACCTTATTGTACCCAGGTTAAGTATTGTTTTTATATTAGATATTTTCACTTGTGAAATATTTTTTTGTTCTACTCTGCACTTCAAGTTAACAAGTGTCAGCTTCATCTTTGGTTTGTTATTTTTGCTTGCTGCATGGTGAGGTGTAGGCATTATTTGGTTAGCTACATGTTTTATTCAAATGCTTACAAAGTATGTAGTGAGTTTGACCATGATGCCAGTGGTTACTATGCCATGTTACACATATTGTATATCCTGATGAGGCAAAACAACATTAGCCACTGAATTCTGTATAGGGTAAAGAGAATGTACACACATTGTTTTGCTTTTTTTTGCTTCGTTCCAGTTGTATATTCTGAACTTTTGATGTTCCAGTTTTTAAGATTCTGTTGCACTTTTATTGGTATACAGATCTCTTTCCTGTGATGCTACTACAAGTTGTTACTGGCTGTACAGTACATTAACACCCACGTAGAGTACAGTATTTCATACTGGTAGGCAAAAAAGGTATCATACTTTTACAGGTAAAAGAAAGAAAAGGTCCGTGGGTATGGTGGTGATCATGGGAATAAAGATATCCCCTCTACAACTTAAGTCTTGGTAGATTTTTTTTTCTTACTGATGAATGTTTTTTTAAACTCGTAACTATATGGTACGTATACTATACTGTGTTGGCACCGTTCCAGATGCATGTGGACAATTAATTGAATGAATGATTGATTGATTGATTAATTGTTGGAACTTAGTGAATTACGCGAATCCTTTTTCAATACCCTTTACAATTTATTGCAAATCTGTCGGCATTCCATGCAGCATATTCGTGCCCTCTTCTATAGAGCACATCTTTTGTCTGTCCTTGGTGTGGCATTGCCTATTGGTAGTTTTTCTTATCCCCGTCCTGACGCCCCTGTATTTGCAATGGTTTCCGCCAGTGACATTAAGAGCAAAATACCGGATGTGTGAACTTCGGCATCTATTAAAGCCGGAACCGGCAGCAACGAGCATTAGAAGTGTACACACTCTTTTGCAAGTCAAGGACATGCCTTGTAAATAGTCGCATGACATCTTTGTGTCTTCGAAACGCTCAACCGTTGCAACTATGGACGACCGGTTCAGAAAGCCCAAACCCAACCCATTGGCTGCGGCTGGTCTTGTCTCCAAGATTTTCTTCTGGTGAGCCGACTTTCAGCAGCGTGTATAAATGGTAGCAAATACGCAGGATAATGTCGATCTTTGATATACAGTGATAGTTATCATTACTGTCATGAATACATTTTTATTCAAATATTTCATATACTAAAACTTGATACAAATGGTAACGTCACACCATGTATTGTTTATCGATAGCTTGATAGATAATGAATCTTGATATAACTGTTATGAATTCGGATTAAGAAATAATTCTGACTTCTGAGTGCTTCTGTTCGTATCAGAACAAAGCGAACTCTGATATATCATTCGAATCCATCAACGAATTCACGACCTTCTATTTAAGGGTTGGATATTTGCGTACCGTCCGATGGCTTTAATCGGACTTCAACCTCCTACTCCAGAGTTCAAGGTCATGGCTCACCAACATCATGAAGCGAATAAATTGAAAACAGCACAGTGCAGATGTCAATTGTTTAGATATGGTTAAATTTATTTTGCATACGACTTTTCGACACAGACAAGGTCAGTCTTTGTATAAGGCTTTGGTGGGCAGTAGTTTTGTTCCATTTATGTTTGCCCTTGTATCTTTCTCAATGTAGGTGGCTGAACCCTATATTCACGACCGGCTATAAGAGAACACTGCAGGAAGATGACATGTACAATGTCCTGTATGCGGACAGCTCACAGAAACAAACAGAATGTCTACAGAGGTATGTTCGCAATATGCATGTTTCATGATATACCTTACGGATCCAAGGACATCTAGTGCTGTAATATGTTCCGTTGACCATCCTTGGTTCTGAAATTTAAGTATCCACTTTCAGATATTCAGTTTATCGTTTTGTTCGAAACGTAACAAAGGGAATGGCAGAAGGAACTGGACAAGGAAAAAGAATCTCCCAGCCGGCCTCCCAGCCTGAGACGGGCCCTCTTCAGGGTCTTCGGTGCAAAGTATCTACTGTTTGGACTTAGCTTACTGTTCTGGGTGAGTACATTGTATGTTCACGTGGTTGCGTTTACGTTTGATGACCACAAAATCTATCTTGTGATTTGATTAATTTGAGGTCAATCGGTTTGATACGTTGAGGTTATGATGATTCCATGGCCCCTATAGGATCGTATAGTGTTGTAGGGCCTGAAATAATGCCCCATCCCTCTCTTTCTGTCGTTAACATTCCTAAAACATAGTTGGGTACTCATTGGCACCTCAGTCACGCACATCTTGGATGGTTCGCATAAAGTGCAATTGCCAAGGGTACAACCTTGGGCTGAATGCAAACCCTGACCTCTAGATCCGAAGTCCTATCTTGTGCGAGATAATGGATATGAATACTAGTACCAGGTTTGAATGTCTGCAAAATTATAGATATCGTTTTCTTCCTACTTCATTCTAGTCAGGAGTGAGAACAATTCAGCCCATCGTGCTCGGCTGGCTGATAGACTACTTCTCCCCCGAGAGTACCGTGACCACCACACAAGCCTACCTGTACGCCTTGGTCATCAGTGTCTGTGCACTCGCCTTTTCCTTGATTATACATCCATATCTCTTCTCCGTGATGGCACTTGGATGGAAGATGAGGGTAGCCTGTTGCGGGCTCATCTATAGAAAGGTGAATGCATATCTCTGAGCGAAATGAACGTCTGGGCGAAATGTTCTAGTCTTTACTAGAACAACGTAACGTATCTGGTAACGTAACGTGTCTTACCTCGATCAGTGAAATGCAGTTATATCATCGTTAACATCTGTGGTTTTCATCTGTTTTTTATACAGACTTTGAAGCTCGGTCACACCGCCTTAGGGAAGAGCAACACGGGACAGATTGTCAACCTCATGTCTAATGATGTTAAAAGGTTTGATCAGGTACAGAAAGCTTCTTCTTCATTTCTATTCGCCTAAATGCCTAAACGGAAGAAAGCATGGTAATAAATAGGGTTTGGTTGCATTGGTAGAGGCAAAGGTCGAGATATTCAGAGGATAAATTTTGGACAAGATGGTTGTATGATCTTTTGTTAATCTTTTTTTTTTTCTTAAAATTAGAGCTAACGTCTTTCATATGTAATTCAAATAGCGGCGATTTTCCTTTCTTTAGGCTGCCGTGTTCTGTAACTACCTGTGGATCGTGCCATTTGAGATCCTGATAGTGACCATCCTGCTGTACAGAGACTTGGGACCTTCTTGTCTGGCCGGGTTGGGATTTATTTTCGTGCAGCTGGCTCTATCAAGTTTGATTGGAAAATTCCTTGCCAAATACAGGTAAACAATCTAATTACAACTCTGATGACTAATACTTGCTATTTTTCTCACAAAGCTGGTGCCGACTTTTTTTGTATTTCCAGGAGCCGGGTAGCACAGAAAACAGACGACCGCATCAGGA